GTTTATTTTTTGAGAGCGAGTCGAGAGGGGCAGAGAGAGAGAACTTCAAGCAGGCTCTGTGCTGCCAGCACAGAGCCCGATGTGGGGCTTGAACCCACAAAGCTGTGAGATCATCCCCTGAGCCAAAACCAAGAGCCAAGTGACTGGGTCCCCCAGGACACCCAAGTTCCTTCCTTAAAGAATAAGGCTCAGTCCCTGAAGAAGTCTTCCCCGTGGAAGACACGTGCCCTTCACTCACTGCCACGGCTTTGGCACAGTCCCACCTCACCTGCTTTGTCACCCAGGTGCCAAATTATTATTGGCCAAACTCTCATGAAACAGGCGAGCCCAGAGCAAAACACAGCCGCCTTCTAGAAAGGGATCGTGGGCGAGGCCTTCACCAAGGGGCTGGTACCACAGGCAGCGGTACATCCCCCACACACCCCGTGTGAGACATGCCCCGTGAGTCACCGCCCACACCCCATGGGTGATCTTGCTTCCTCGCCCCCATCACAGGTCTTCAGATGGGCACAAAACTCCACGTTCTGCCTCATACCTGGCGGCCATTTCCGAGAGGTGGCGTGGTCAAACCAGCATGTCCCTCTGAGGGGGATTTTTGTCCAGGCTGTGCCACCCACCAGTCCCCAACTCTGTGTGACGGAGTGGCTTTCCCTACAGAACACCCACACTCACGTACAATGTGGTTAAAATAAAATGTATTCCATATAAATATCTCCATCCAGGAGTCATACAGGGACGGCCCGAGCGGCCCTTAAGGCTGGAGGTTGTTTTTTTTAAATACAGAGGCATAAATAACTGTACAGTGGGGAGCTAAATACAGGGTGGCGCGATAGCGCCTCCTGGCGGTCACGTAAAGTGGTGCAATCAGAAGAAGGTTCATCCTTGTCACCCACCAGGTGAGCCCGGCACAGCAGCTTTAGTCTTCAAGGGACCCAGGAAGCCCCAACTCTCCATTATCCGGGAATGGTGGGCTCAAGGGAGACCAGAGGTTCCACTCGGTCCAGGCTGCTAGCCGGCAGCAGGTCACGTATAGGGTTTGGCGGGGAAGGAGCTGGGGAACTAAGACGTGAGGCTCCGGGCTATGATTTCCTTTCATCTCTCCGGGCCCTGTGACCTCAGATAATCAGGAGTCGGCTCCATCATTAAGTTCTGTGGCAGCGACTTTAACTTGTCCCGTGGGCCGCTGGAACTCTGGGATCGCTGGGCTGCCTTGCTGCCCCATCCTTTTTCACCTCGTAGGGAAATACAGCACCAAAGATGTCTTCATGATAGCGCTTCTGGCTCTTTAAGGGAAAGCAGGCCAGCGTGTCAGCTCTGCTGGTCCAGCCGCCTCCCATTCATCAGGTCCAGGCTAGGACGAGCCCCTGGGGCTCCCCTGGCTTCCCTACCACACATACACTCATGAGCCATCTGCCTTCACAACGGCCATGCTTAGGGCACACTTGAATCCCACTTAGGCTCCACCTCCCATCAGCACCTGCGCTGGTGTGAGCCACCCAACCCGCTGTCCCAGCCTGCCTCGTTCTTGTCCCACAAGACGCTCCGGGAAATGTGGGCTCTGAGATAGACACGTTTGGGAAATGCTGCATCCTTTCTCTCCTTGAGGAGTCACGACACACAGCACATTAGCGGCCCTGAGAAGTCTTGTCATAAAGCAACGTGTTGCCTTTGTCTAAATGAGCGGCCAGGCCTTTTAACAGCCCATCTCGCTCTGACCTCCAGTCACCTCTAGGATTCTTTTGAGGTGCAGGACTGTTCTGAGCCTGACTCTCCTAGTCCTGATTCCCTTGCCCGTGTCCTTGATCTGCACCCCTGACCCACACACCAGCCACCGTACCTTAAGTTGGAAGAAATAGTCCTCCACCTGCTCCTCGCTCAGGCTCAGCTTGGCGGCCAGCAGGTGCTTCAGGGTTTGGGCCACATCCCGGGCCATACGCACATCCCCACAGACATAAAGGTGGCCTTGCTCCTCATGGAGCACGCGGAGCACCTCGCTGGCCAGCTGCTGCCTCAGGATGTCTTGAACATAGACCTGAAACCAGAGGACGTGGTGGGTCCAGGCCCCTGCTTCTGGGGGTGAGGCGTGCAGTCAGGCCTGCTGGCCAGGGGGAGGCAGTGAGGGGACATGCTGGGCTGCAGGGTGAGGACCCGCCCAGCTGGGACCTTGCCTAGGGATCAGGCTCAGGATAAGGAGGTACCCTGGCATCCCGCCCAGCTCTGGCCTGGGCTGGGGCCAGAGAGAGGAATGTTGACCCCTCAGCCCTGCCCTCAAGAAGCTGACAATTCAGTGAGGCTCCTGCATTTACTTTGAATTCACCATGCTTCAGAGAGGCATCTATCAAGCCACTTCCCCTGCCTGGGCTCTGAGGCCCACCTGCCTACACCCCAGTAAAGGGAGCCTCTCAGTGCAGAGTTCACGGAATCCCCATTGTAATTCAGAGCAGGGCACAGAACCCTGGGCTCCCCAGTTATACAGAAACCTAGGAGTCTCTGCTCTCGTTCCACACAAGATGCCCAGTGACCCTAGCACTGGACACAGAGCACCGTGGCTAGAACAAATTCACAGGGGCTGAGGCAAGGGTCTGTCCCGACTCCCCAGGGCGGCAGAGACCGTCACCGGGGCATGGTGTTTGGGCATAAAGCCAGCCCGGACCACTTCTTCCCAGGCAGCTGTGTATCTGAAGGGAGCACTTTTAGTCAGCTGGGCACTGGGTCTAACCTACCAGGTGACCTGCTTTGTCCTGAATGTCCCGGGGACCCTCTCTTCTCCTGACAGAGTGAACATGATAGCTTCACAGCATCGCTTTGATGGTTGTGTAACCGCCTCCCTTTTAGAGCTGAGACGAAGGCTCCAAGAGCAAGGGGCTCCTCGCGGGGAGCCGCCGCGGCACCCACCAGACTGCGCTTTTAATGTCCCACCCACTGCACGGGCAACTGCCGCATTTACCTTGGGCTGGCCAGGCAGGCGAGAGTAGGCTGTGTGAACCTCATGCAGCACCCCCTTCTGGGCCATCTCCAACATCTCCTCCCGATAGAGGTGGTCCTCATCCGGGCGGCGGCACCCGAACACCAGGGTCATGCGGCTGCCCCGGAGCCCTGTGAGACCCAGCAGGCTCCAGTTACCAGGGTGGCCACCAGAGGGCCCAAGGAGCCCGGCAACTGACCTGAATTCTCATTTCACGCCCACAGCTATCCTACCTAGTATTATCCCCACTTTACAGATGAGGAAAATGAGGCCCAGGGCATTCAGATCACTTGTCCACACAGGCTGAGGCAAATGGGAGAAGGGCAAGGAAACGTCTGTGGGCGGTGGCACAACTCTCCAGTCACTGCCGCCCTACTCCTGGAGAGATGCCAGGCCACCTGGTGTCCCCTCCCCGCCTGCCGGAAACCCCCTAACTGTACCTTTGTGCTCAGCATCATGGAGCCGCTGCTGCCAGAAGCTGCGGAAGGGGGCGATGCCTGTGCCAGGCCCAATGAGGATGCAAGGTTGGGAGGGGTCCTCAGGGAGCTGGAAGCCGCCGGCACTAAAGGGGACAGATCAAGAGGCCCAGTCCTCAGACACCCTGAGATGGATGCACACACTGGACAGGGGCTGGGGAACTGGGGTGCAGCTGGGGGTGGTGGTGGTGTGAGGGTGGAGGAGACAATGAGCTCAAATGTGATTTCCCAAGTCCTGTAGGCTGCCTCATTTCCCCTGCCCTGGCACACCATCTCCTCGCCCTGGGCTCCTTTTGAAAAAGGCCTGAAACTCATTGTTCTCTGGATCCCCACCCCGACTGCTGTCATCTCTGTCTCTGCTGGAGATCTGGCTACGCTCTATTGCCAGGGATAGAATGGAGAGGCCCAGGGGGACCCCAATGCTTTCTTCATGGGCCATGGGGCCCAGCATGGTACCTAAGTCCCAGATCACTCCCCTTCAAACCAGAACTCCCAGGGACTAGTGGTCCCACCAGGGACAGAGTGGAGGGCCTGTTTACCTTCTCACAAAGCAGGGTACTGGGTCTTGGGGCTTCAGGCTGCTGAGCCATGTGCTGCAGACGCCGTGGTGCAAGGGACCTTGGCCATCTGCAAGGACAACACAGACATGACCAACATCATTCCCCACGCCCTAGGGGTGAATTGTCCCAGAGGCTCTTCCCACACCAACGAGCCTCCTAGAAGTGTCCGCTGAGGCACTCTCTGGGCTTTAGTGAGGGGGCAGTTCTCCTGGTCCTGCGGTCTGCCCTCTATGCAGCCAGAGCTGGTGAAAACTGAAACGTACTTAGAGAGTTTGCAAGACTCTCCCCTTTGCCACTGCAGAGTCTCAGAGAAAGAAAGTGACTTGTACAAGGTCACTCAGGTAGCAGTAAAATGAGGCCACAGCTCAGGTTCCCTGACTCCTACTCCAATGCTCCTTCCAAGAGTTTCTCCAGGGACCCTCCCAGCCCATCACTCAGCTCCGATGATATAGCACAAAGTGGCCCTGCAGGGTGGCCACAGTCACTGCCCCACAGTGTCTTCATGAGGTAAACCCCTTGCTGGTAGGAACCCTGGGTGACAGACAGCCCCCTGAGCATTCTGGTCTGCTGTGATATCTCACTGTCTCCCCAAGCGGCCCCTCCTGGGCCTGTGGAAACCCCTACTTTCTCTGGTTTACATTCCCTTCCCAAAGGCCCAGCATTTAAAGCTATCCCAACCAACTCGAAAAGTCCCTTTTTTCCTCTGGATGGAATCTTGCTCTCACAAGGTGTCCCCACCTCCCCTCTCCCTGCCTGAGGACTGAGACTTGGCCTGTGTAGATGTTCTCGAACAGAGCAGACAGAGTCTCTGCCCAGTGTTTAGAAACCATGTGACTATGCTTTTTACCTGGCTTTACCAACCCAGGCAATGCTCAGTTACAGGGTACAGTTCACCCAGCACAGAGGCCCAAGTCCAAGTAGACAAGGTTTTGGACCTTCCAGTCTATGTTAGCCCATCCTCTACCCTCTGCCCTCAGAGCACCCTGCATAATGACAACTGTCCATCACTATGAGTCTCTCTTCACTGCCCCCTCTAGATGGGACGCTCCATGAGGGAAGAAGCTACGTGTTGTGTTTCCACATCCACCACCAGGCCAAGCATAGATGGATATGAAATAACCATCGCTGAATAAGTGAATGACTGAGTGAACAATCAAGGCATAATCACCCCTGTACCCAGGCTAGACTATCAGGAAATGAAGAATCGCTGGGAAGTATTGGGTGCTTTCGACATTTGATCTCATTAAGTTGTCCCAACAGTAGTAGGGCAGTAGAGTGAAGAAGGGAAGACTCAGCAGTCAGACTGCTTGGGTTCGAACCTCAGTTCTCTATTTGCTAACAGTATGACTTTGTGGCTTAACCTCTCTGTGCCTCAGTTTCCTCACCTGTAAAATGCAAACAGTCCCCATCTTGTACGGTTACCGATAATACATATACAAAAGGGTGAGCTCAGTGCCTGGTTCGTAGTAATCTCTCCCACACACCTCCTATTGCTATTAACACTCTGGGAGGTAGGGGTTTTTGAAAGTTTGTTTACTTATTTTGAGAGACAGAGAAAGCATGAGTGGGGGAGAGGCAGAGACAGAGAGAGAAGGAGGGAGAGAGAATCCTAAACAGGCTCCACGCCGGCACCTTAATGTCAGGCTTGAACCCACAAACTGTGAGATCATGACCTGAGCCGAAATCAAGAGCCAGACGCTCAACTGACTGAGCCACCCAGGCTCCCCTGGGGAGTGGGTTTTTAACTGCCGAGGAGACCACAGTTCAGAGATGTTGAACGACTGCCCAGTAAACAGCAGAGCTGGACTGCTCCAAAGCCCCTGCCCAGCCTTACCTCGGGTGCGGTAGGTGAGCACAGCCACAGTGAGGTGGACCTCCGTGGGTGCACAGGCCCTGGAGGAGCTGATGGAGTAGTACCGGGGTTTCAGAATAGGCAGCTGGGAGAGCAGGAAGCCAGCAGATACCCGCAGGGATGGGAACTCCTCCAGTACCTCCAGGAATGTGGGGCTGTTGGTGAACTTCCATTTGTTGTACTCTGAGGGCTGAAAGCCAAGGGCAGTGTGAGTGACTTCTGGCACTTGCCCCTCCCGGAGGCAGAAGGCTGTCACAATCCAGCATTCATTCATTCACTCATTCACACCCTCAACAAACATTTCCGAGTGCCAGGCGCTGTCCAGGGTGCTGAGACTACCAAGCTGGAGAGAAAATAGTTCCTTCCTGGAAGAACTCAGGTCAGTGAGTAGCATTAACCTGATTTGTGTGCTTAGAACTCCACCGTTGGCTCCTGGTGGGCAGGAGTCAAATTTTTATTGTAATCTAACTGTGGACAGAGCTCTGGAATCATACACACCTGGGTTCAGATCTTGACTGGACGCCCTTACCAGCTGTGGGATCTTGTCCCAATCACTTAACCTTTGTGAAACGAGGATGGCATCATCTATTTCATGGGGATATCGAGAGACTTAAATGCAAGAACATGTGCCAAGTTAGTACAGTGCAGTGGAGGTGGTGGGAATCAAGACAATTAGCGATAAACATGATGGTAATAATGCCATCCGGTGCCTTTGCAAAGGCATGGGCCTAGAAAGCTGTCAGTGAGTTAATGCATCCTCTCATTAATTTATTAACTCAACCACCTGTTACTGTGTCTATTTATCCATTCATCCTCACCATCCATCCTCCAGCACTTCCTAAGTTTCAGGCTTATTCCAGGTTTTGGGAATATACAAAGCCAAGACAATAATGGCTCCCTTTTCTAGCCCCTTATCTTATCTTATCTTATCTTATCTTATCTTATCTCATCTCATCTCATCTCATCTCATCTCATCTCATCTCAGGTAGTGTCCTGCAGACACTAAGAAAAATTAAGATCACTCAAAGCAACTGTGTCCTAGTGATGGGATGGAGGGGATACAGACTTCACACCAGCTTTTGACAAGTCTCACTCTGGGAAGCTAGGTAGGATTTCCCCTTGGAGGTTAAACACTAGCTCTGGGTTCTGGTTCCCCTCATCCACCCTGCCCTTCCTTCACCCACCAGCCCCAACCTTCACCTGGCACAGGATCTCCAGCCTCTGCCTCTCTGCCTCTTCTGTGGCCAGCTGTGCCAATTTGCGGAGCAGCAGCTGGGTTGGGGGGGTGGTGATATCCAGGAAGTAGGTGAGGGCCTGGCTGAGGGAGCACGGGGGCAGCCGCTTGTCTCTGACCCAGTAGCTTCCTGGATAGGGAAAGAAGGAGTCAGGATGGCAAAAAAGGCCCCATTTAGGTTTCCTGAAGGGTGATGAGGCCTCTGGGGAAAACACCCTCCACCCTCCAGCTGCAGGGAGAGAAGACACTGAATTTCTGCCTTCAGGAACAGCAGAAGTGTTCACGTGCCCAATTCACATGCAAGGAAGTGGTGCTCAGAGTTAGGGCTGCCATGGGAGGCTGACCAACAGCTCTCTAAAGGGTACCCAAGTTAGCACAATCCTGAAAACTTAACTATGCACCAGAGTTCAGTCCCTCTCTGGTTCAGATCTGTACTTTAGCAAAACAACCATAGGTGAACTACAGACTCACAGTAACTAAATTCACCAAAGACTGATGTACACCCCTGAGGCCAGTTATGCATTTACAGAAAAGCCCATGACTTCAGTCCCCTGGGGCTATACCAAGAGGTACTGGGTGAGCAGCAAATCAAAGTAAAGTGGCAAGTCCCAAGGAGTCCCAAGAGGCAGTATGCAGGGCCGTCATAGTGTGGACCCTGGAGCCAGTACACATGGGTTCAAACTCTGGCTCCCCACTTACTAGCGAGGTGACTGAACACAACCTTGGGTTCTGTCTCTATAAAACGAACGCAATAACAAAACCTGTCTCGCTGGATTTGTATGACCATTGAATGGTATAGTGTACGTGTAATAGTATGGTGTTGGGCACATACATGTTCAATAAATATTAGGTAAAAATATTCGTACTATGTTATTTCATCTAGACCCAAGGCCTGAAGAACTACACATCTGTCTTCCTGCGTCACAAGACATTCTCCTGGACAGTGGGGGACAATGCCACACTTTGCTTCTCTGACCCTCCTTTTCCTATTGTGGCCACTCTCTTTAGGGGCACACATTCTTTGGAGGTCTGATTGTCACTCGGGCCAGAGGGCCATTCCTATGGGCTAGGAGGCTTGCAAGTGTTGATTTCATTAGTTTATCTCTCCTAGTGCCTGTCCCCCACCCTGTGCTGTGCTGACCACACAGACTGGGCCTCACCCTAGCAGGGGAAGGGGGTGCTCCCGACCCTCCCTAGGACAGCGTCCTCTCCCAGGTGAGGATGACCAGGAGGAGACTCACTCTCCCTGCCACCCACAGTCTGCCGCTGCCCATCATCCGGGTAAGGTGGGGATAAGTGAGGCCTTCGATGGGTAAGCAGTGTGAAAGCAGAATGCCATGAACATGCAAGGAGGTTATGAACTTTGGGATCCAGGGACACTCTCAGGGCACATTAAGCTCCTTCTCTGAGCTCTGGACAGATGTTCACAGCCTGTAGGGAATGGACATCCCTCTGCTTCTACATTTATTCGGTGCCAGGAACGGTGGTGAAGGGGGCATTTGCACCTAATCATCTGGTCTTACTACAACCTTACAAGGACAGCTCCTTTGTCTTCATTTTAGAGACAAGAAATAAAGCCTCGAGAGGTTAACTCCTATGCCCAAGGTCACATAGCTAGGAAGTGATGGATCAGGGACTTGAACCTTCAAAGCGCAGCATTTTTACACTGTTCCCACATTTCTCCATTACGTCATCAGGCAAACTGCACACACATGTCTACTGTGGGGACTGAAGAGACAGGGCATGTAAAATGCTGGCATCTAGTAATTACCCAACAAATGCCAGCTGCTACTGTTATGATGAGGATGAGGATGAGGATGAGGATGATGACGGTGATGAATATTCTTGCCTATCTGCCTCCTGTACTCGGTAGTGAGCTTTCTGAATGCAGACATTGAGCCTCATTCGTTTTTGTAGCCCAGGGCCTGCCTGGTATATAGATGTGACCGGTTGAAATTTCAATGGAAAAATAAATGAATCCATCATGAACAAAAAAAGTGGCTGGGTGAGCAAAAGGACGAAGGGAAAAAGACTCCCCAGTCTCTGGGGTTGGACAGATAGTCCCAAAGAAGCGTCCCTTCCATTGGCAAAGCTGCACGAGTATGGGCTTGGGCGGCCCAGCCACTCAGCAGGGAGGACAGGGCTAACTGCCCACAGCGCAGGCGTGGGACCGGCCCACCAGCAGAGTCGGGGAGGTTGCCGGGGGGATGCTGGGGCCACCGTGCAGACGGCTCACCGCTCTCGCTGAGGGTCTCCAGGTGCACCGGTTGGTGGGGCGCAGGGCCGTCCACCACTCGCTCCAAGATGCCTTTTACCAGAGCCAGCTGGTTGCCTGGGAAAACCCCGAGGTGCTCTCCAGGCAGGTAGCTCAGCCGGTGGCTGTCCTCACAGGAGAGCTCCACCAGGAGGGTGGTGCGGCTGGAAAGGGGAAAGAGAAGCCTCTGGTGACGCCACCAGGATTTCCTCCAGAGGTCCTGATGGCCGGGCCAGCTTCCCTAGGAAATGTGCCCTTTCATTTTCCTGCCCAGTTCCATGAGCATGGGTCACCCACAGCCCCTGAGGCTGCGGTGCTCAGGAGGGCCTGGGGCTTCTCTGTGGGGAGAGGGTGGGCTGCACCCTCCCCACATGACGGTCCTGAGCCACACAGGCTTGACCACACCCTCCGCCTAAAGAAAGCATCCCCTTGGGAGATAGTCAGCATTAGGAAAAAAATCCTTCTTGTCCCCAGCACAAATCTGGTTCTTCTCGGAACAAAGCCTAGTTTTCCTAATGAATGGGGAGGGGGAGGGAGGACAGCACAGACAACCTACAGGGAGTCCAGAATACTCGTTTCTCCTGGCAGGGAAATGTCCTTCCCTGCCAAAAGTTTTCCTGAAAGTTCTTAAGAAAGAGCCAAATGGTTTGAGTTTCTCTTGCCCTCCACCTTTGGTGAAAGGGTTTAGTGACAAAGGACAGGTTGGTAGAGCAGGTGCCTAGTTGTCAAGCTGGGAAACTGGCCCATGGTTAATGGATACCAGACCTAGAGGTGATGGAGGTCACAGGCGTTACCGGTCAAGCTGGTCCTGACAAAGTCATCATTGCTATTACCAGTGGACACTTCTCTCCTTTCAAAGACTGACTTGCTCTGGTGTTCCCTTCATTAAATTAAATTTGTGGGTCATCACTCAAGTAGGCCTGCAGTCTCCCTTACCTGGATTTCGCACTCTGGAGATTCCGCTGTGATTTGAGCCTCATGGTGAACACGTTCTTGGCGTGCATACTGCCGAGGGCTGTGGGGGACAGAGAGGAAAAAATGGCAAAGTGTCTCTTAAGTGTTGGTGGGGGCAGCCTCCATGTATTTGAGTCAGTTATCCCTGGACACTACCCTTGAGGTGTCCCGCTGTGATGGCAGGGGGGTTTTCTGTCCTTTCTTTTTCCCTGCTGTTTCTGAATCACAAATAAAGAAAGACCCTTGGTTTGACAGAGGGTAGCTGTGCTGCTAAGCGCTGGGAAATGCATGAGGTGCCCAAAGGTGGGGATTTCTAGGCCATCCCCATAGCCTGGTATCTGCAGGAGAGCATAGCTGAAGCCAGGGGTGTCCTAAACATGCAGGAACCTACAGGGCTACTGTACTCATGGTACAAGAAAAGAGGAATCACGGAGGCACAGCATCAAGAAGGCACCATCAAGAGTTCACGGACGGCAGCCTGGGACTGCTTCTACAAGATGTGGTTTATAATACTTGGCTGCTGTCAGAACTGGACAGCTGGGGCTCAAATCCCAGCCTGGCCACATGCTAGCAACTTGCTTCACCTCCCCAAACTTCAGTGTCTTTGTGCCCGTTGTATTTTGTTTTTTAAGTCCCCTCCACACCTAACATGGGGCTCGAACTCACAACCCAGAGATCAAGCATCAGATGCCCTACCAACTGAGCCAGCCAGGAGCCCTGGTCTTTGTGCCCTTCTTACAAGATAGTGTCAGGGTCACTTAGAGTGGCGTGGGTGAGAAGCCCAGCACAGTGCCTGGCACACAGGAGGCCCTCAGTTGGCGCTGGCTCCCCTTTCTGTCACCCTCCCAGGGCTTCCTCCTGGAATAGGCTTCCTCAGAGATGAAGCAAGCTCTCCAGTGCTGCACCCCAGCAGGCTCTCGGCTGCAACAAGAGGGAGAGGCCTGGAACCCCTAGGCTGGCTGCTTCCGTTCAGAGGGTCCTAGTGGTCTCCTCGAGCACAGACTCCGGCGTCAGAGACCGCCATCCCAGCAGGAAGGGCCGCAAGCCCAGCAGGTACCTTTGTTGAGGTCCAGAGGCTGTGAGTCCCGCACGAGCCTGTAGTGGTGCGGGTCCCAGGTCACATTGGAGGTGTAGAGCTTGGGGATCTGAACGCGGTGCTTGCCTCGCACATCGAACGTCTCACAGGCTGCCTGGAAGAAGATGGGGCAGACCATCATCATGGTCCTCCTCTTCGACATCGTCACCACCATCGGGGCCACCATTTTGTAGGTCCTTACAGATCAGTTAAGTGCTTCCAATAATTACTAAGTACACGGATCTGACTGGGCTGCTGTGTGCACTCGAAGAGGCAGCCAGGCTTGGCACGTCGTCGCTATTGTTTTCATATTATCCTCATGCCCACACCATGAGATTTGATTACCCCCATGTTCCTGGTGTGGGGTCACGTGGAGGCGGCGTGGGCCTGGGAACCAGGTGCTCTAAGCGCCACCGCTGGGTGAAACACTGTTCGTATGTGGAGTTCTCTAAAATTGGGGGTGGGGGGGGTGCGGCCACAGGCAGCAAAGCCCTACTGAGATTCTGACACAGGTCCAGAGGACTCAACCACATGGTCCCTGTCCCCAGGCTCTCTGTGGCTGGGAGACGGAAACAAGACAAAGTCGTCAAGAGGTGACCTGAATAATTAGAGGGGCAAAGATCTTAAACCGAAGCTCTCTAAGGGCAGGGGGGTGTCTCAGCCATCTTCCCCCATCTGGGGGCACATGCTTAAAGTGGAGTTCTGAGGGGTAGAGGGAAAGCAGCAGTGACTTGAGCCTTCAGGCCACACCTAGGACTATGCCTATAGGACCAGGCAGGAGTCACGCCATCCAGGATGGCCAGCGTGAGGTGTCCTGGACATGAGTGGGCTGTGGCATCCCTGTCCGGGCCGGGGGGCAGCTCCAGCTAAGAACTGACCTTGAAGGTTTGCACGGCCCAGCTGCGGAAGGCTTCCTCCTGTCCACTGAGCTCGTCCCCTTCCCCTGTTGGGGCAAGCTGAGAGGCCCCCAGATGGGACAGCTTCTGGTCGATGTCATGAGCAAAGGCACAGAACTGAGGGTACATGCTGGAGCCGAGGCCGAACACGGCATACCTGCCCGAGGAGGACACACACGTGGAGACTGGGGTGAGCCCAGCCACACAAGCATCACGTAGCATTAGTGGCCCCGTAAGGCCAGCCTCAGACACTCCCCCCGCAGCTGGGCACAGGACCGGCCAGCGCACGCCCCCTTCTGGTCCTCCGTAGCTCCCAAGCCTTGTCACCAACTCCTGTGACCAATCCCACGCTTGAGGGACCTATGAGAGGGACTTGGTTTCCCTGACTTGACCCTCGACATATGCTGAGGACAAGGATCTCTCTGTGCCTGGATATCTTGGAGAAGACCCCCTTACACACAACCAGTTTCCTCCCTGGCACCCAGACTCTAGGTTCATAAGGTAGGGCTTGGACAAGTGGGTGGGGAAAGCCTTACCTGAACTTGTTGGTAAGCTCTTTCAGCATGAAGAGGGATTTTTTCAGTTTCTAGAAAGAGAAAGAACCACAGACTTCTCAGGATGAGATTAGTATAAGTACTGGCCACATCTGGCCACATGTGGTTCAAGATCCACAAACGGAAGTGTGGAGCCAGCTGGCTGGGGCTCAGGGACAAGTTCAGTCTTAGCAACTCATGTGGGCTTGACCCTTGGTGGGGGACCTAGAACAGCCCAGCCCCATCCAGCTCTGGTAGAGGAGGACCTCCCTTACAGCACGGCATCTCCAGAGGGTCTCCTCATGGGGCACGAGCCTCTCTTCCTTTTTGGAACCTGGTAATAATGACAACCGGTCCCATTCTCTCTAAGATTACCCTGATTTCCAAGGGACTGAAGATTATTTTAGGCAGAATGTGACCCAGCAGCAATGGCGTCAAATCACATGGTAAGAAAGTACTCTTTTCTGTAAATTTTAAAAAATTATTCCTGTTTCAGTTACTATTCTTATCTTTATGAAAACCAGGGAGTGTCTTCGCTTGGGGCTATGGGAGCCCAAAGACCTCTAATCTTTGCCTACTACTCATTTTAAAAACCAAAACAAGCCACGGTCAGGCAACAGTACCCAGTTAAAGTTCAAGAACTTTGTTTGGCTTTCATTGGGTTTACTTTTGGTTGGCCTTCCATTCATGGGAGTTATATAAAGTTTCCTTTAAACATGAATTTTTGAGGGGCGTCAGGGTGGCCCAATAGGTTAGGCGTCTGATTTCAGCTCAGGTCACGATCTCACGGTTCATGAGTTTAAGCCCCGCAGCGGGCTCTGTGCTGACCGCTCAGAGCTTGGAGCCCGCTTCAGATTCTGTACGTATGTCTGTCTCTCTCTCTCTCTGCGCCTCCCCTGTGTTCTCTCTCTCTCTCTCTCTCTCTCAAAAATAAGTAAATAAACATTTTAAAAAATTAGCATGAATTTTTGAGTTTAAAAAGGTGGGTCAATTTACTTAAAAGTATAGATCATGTCACAGGAAAGGCGTCACATACATATGGTGACAATTATAAAGGAGGCAGGCAAATGGCTGGCACTCGGGCAGCCCACAGGGATCCAAGCGCTCACTTCCAAGCGCCCTCCTTAGGACATGCTGAATCTCCCAGATCCTTTCCCTGTCCC